GGGGGGGGGAGACAGGGGAGGCCTTAGAGTTGGGCAAAGGAGTCCGAGGGGGGAACTCTTCCCCATTAAGGGGGTGACATTAACAAACCCCCCCCCCATTTTCTGCCCCACTGCTTAGCCCCAGGCTTCCCCTCGGAGCTGGGGATCAAGGTTGGGGTCTCGGTTGCCGTGCTGGTGGTGGGGATGGTCTTCCTGGCAGTCGGCCTGGTCTTCTGGAAGCGGTCAAGGATTCAAGGTGAGGCCCCCGGGGGCAGAGGGGGAGCCGGGCCACAGGGGAGCCCACCCAGGGGGTCGAGGGTGGGCGGAAGAAGCCTCTGGGAGGGGCTGCTGCATGCAGGAGGGGCTGCGGATGCTCCAGAGGGGCCTTTCGGGGGGCCTGGCTCTCTGGGGCTCCCCTCAACCCAAAGGGCAGGGGGCTTCGGCCATGGGGGGGAGGGGGGGCTGGGGAACGAACCTCAAGGCTGAGAAAGAGGGCGCCTGGGAGGTGGTCTCCGCGGGTGGATGATGGGAATTGTAGTGCAGCAGCAGCAAAGTGGGACTGGGTGGGGGAAGGAGGGCAGGGACCCCTCCCCCCAAACTGCTTGGGGCCACCAGGGACAGCCAAACCCCCTGACCAATTCATTGCCTCCCCTCCCCTGCAGGCTACTACCCCTTGGAAGGCGACAACTACCCCCATGAAGGTGAGTCTGGCAGCAGCCCGGGGGGGGGGAGACTGAGGAGCCCCCCACCCACCCATGCTTGCCCCCCAATCCTCCTCTTCCTCCTTCCGGCAGGCCCAGGAAGCCTCTGAGGCCACAGAGAGGCCCAGCAGCTGCTTGGCCCAAAGGGGGGGGGGGGCTGGGGGGTGCGCGCACCCTGCCTGAAGACCCCTCCCTCTGTTTCCCTTCCTGTCCCACCCCACAGAGACCGGCCAAAGACCTCCGTCCTACCCCAAAAACCTAACAAAGTTTGGCTCCTGTGGGCCTCCTGAGGGGCCGGGAGATGGAAGGGTCCCCCACCCCAATTTCTGCACTGGCAGCAAAAGGGTCTCTGACACCCCCTCCTTCTTTCCCCCCCACCAGTGGGTAGTTTTGGGACCCCCCCCCCCCCCTTTGGGCCAAGCAGCTGCTGGGCCTCTCTGTGGCCTCAGAGGCTTCCTGGGCCTGCCGGAAGGAGGAAGAGGAGGATTGGGGGGCAAGCATGGGTGGGTGGGGGGCTCCTCAGTCTCCCCCCCCCCGGGCTGCTGCCAGACTCACCTTCATGGGGGTAGTTGTCGCCTTCCAAGGGGTAGTAGCCTGCAGGGGAGGGGAGGCAATGAATTGGTCAGGGGGTTTGGCTGTCCCTGGTGGCCCCAAGCAGTTTGGGG